CACTAACCAACCTTCACTACCACAGTGCCATCACTAATCAACCTTCACTACCACAGTGCCATCACTAATTAACCTTCACTACCACAGTACCATCACTAACCAACCTTCACTACCACAGGGCCACCACTAACCAACCTTCACTACCACAGTGCCATCACTAACTAACCTTCGCTACCACAGGGCCACCACTAACCAACCTTCACTACCACAGTGCCATCACTAATTAACCTTCACTACCACAGTGCTACCACTAACCAACCTTCACTACCACAGTGCCATCACTAACCAGCCTTCACTACCATAGTGCCACCATTAACCAACCTTCACTACCACAGTGCCACCACTAGCCAACCTTCACTACCACAGTGCCATCACTAATTAACCTTCACTACCACAGTGCTACCACTAACCAACCTTCACTACCACAGTGCCATCACTAACCAACCTTCACTACCATAGTGCCACCACTAACCAACTTTCACTACCACAGTGCCACCACTAACCAACCTTCACTACCACAGTGCCACCACTAACCAACCTTCACTACCACAGTGCTACCACTAACCAACCTTCACTACCACAGTGCCCCCACTAACCAATCTTCACTACCATAGTGCCACCATTAACCAACTTTCACTACCACAGTGCCATCACTAACCAACCTTCACCAGCACAGTGCTACCACTAACCAACCTTCACTACCACAGTGCCATCACTAACCAACCTTCACCACCTAAGTGCTACCACTTACCAACCTTCACTACCATAGTGTCACCACTAACCAACCTTCACTACCACAGTGCCACCACTAACCAACCTTCACTACCACAGTGCCATCTCTAATTAACCTTCACTACCACAGGGCCACCACTAACCAACCTTCACTACCACAGTGCCATCACTAACCAACCTTCACTACAACAGTGCCACCACTAACCAACCTTCACTACCACAGTGCCACCACTAACCAACCTTCACTACCACAGTGCCACCACTAACCAACCTTCACTACCACAGTGCCATCACTAACCAACCTTCACTACCACAGGGCCACCACTAACCAACCTTCACTACCACAGTGCCACCACTAACCATCCTTCACTACTACAGTGCCACCACTAACCAACCTTCACTACCACAGTGCCACCACTAACCAACCTTCACTACCACAGTGCCATCACTAGCCAACCTTGACTACCACAGTGCCACCACTAACCAACCTTCACTACCACAGTGCCATCACTAACCAACCTTCACTACCACAGTGACATCACTAACCAACCTTCACTACCACAGTGCCACCACTAACCAACCTTCACTACCACAGTGCCACCACTAACCAACCTTCACTACCACAGTGCCATCACTAACCAATCTTCACTACCACAGTGCCATCACTAACGAACCTTCACTTCCACAGTGCCACCACTGACCAGCCTTCACTACCACAGTGCCATCACTAACCAACCTTCACTACCACAGTGCCACCACTAACCAACCTTCACTACCACAGTGCCATCACTAACCAATCTTCACTACCACAGTGCCATCACTAACGATCCTTCACTTCCACAGTGCCACCACTAACCAGCCTTCACTACCACAGTGCCATCACTAACAACTTCACTACCACAGTGCCACCACTAACCAACCTTCACTACCACAGTGCCACCACTAACCAACCTTCACTACCACAGTGCCATCACTAACCAACCTTCACTACCACAGTGCCACCACTAACCAACCTTCACTACCACAGTGCCACCACTAACCAACATTCACTACCACAGTGCCATCACTAACCAACCTTCACTACCACTGTCCCATCACTAACCAACCTTCACTACCACTGTGCCATCACTAACCAACCTTCACTACCATAGTGCCATCACTAACAAACCTTCACTACCACAGTGCCACCACTAACTAACCTTCACTATCACAGTGCCATCACTAACCAACCTTCACTACCACAGTGCCATCACTAACCAACCTTCACTAACCACAGTGCCATCACTACCAACCTTCACTACCACAGTGCCATCACTAACCAACCTTCACTATCACAGTGCCATCACTAACCAACCTTCACTACCACAGTGCCACCACTAACCAACCTTCACTATCACAGTTCCATCACTAACCAACTTTCACTACCACAGTGCCATCACTAACCAACCTTCACTACCACAGTGCCACCACTAACCAACCTTCACTACCACAGTGCTACCACTAACCAACCTTCACTACCACAGTGCCATCACTAACCAACCTTCACTACCACAGTGCCACCACTAACCAACCTTCACTACCACAGTGCCACCATTAACCAACCTTCAATACCACAGTGCCACCACTAACCAACCTTCACTACCACAGTGCCACCACTAACCATGGTCCATAAAAGCTGTGGTTGCTGTACTAGAGGAATAATAAAGAGAAAACACCCAATTAAAAAAATAATGTAACTGTAAAATAATTCAAGTAAATTATTTAAAAAATGCAAAAATGAATACTCTTAATTTGAAAAAAAAAAAGTTCATGACAGTAATAATTCCCCAAAACTAAAATAATACTTCATATTTACGTTAAGTCTATATTCTGTTAAGGAAAATATAATATTAGACGTAAATAATTAGTGGTGCAGCTTAAGTGGAAGCTTAAGTAAATAATTATTTCAGGAGCAACAACGTACCAATTCCAGTTATGCTCGCACTCGAAGGTCAACCTTGAGACTCTCCAGCATGTGTTCTCGAGTACTTACTCATCCTCATCACCCCCCCCCCCCCGTTTTCTACTCCTGCATGCTGATGGGGTGATATACGGTCTTTTTTGTTTTTGGACACACGCACTTCACTGGCGGACACCACGTATAAAAATGCCCGGCACTGATAAACGAGGACAGTCTGAATGCCCTTTTAGTTTAACGCCCCACCACACTAAATGACCTCCTTGCTTAAAGTCCCACCACTGACACAAACATCCTGACTCCTTTTCCAAATCCATTCTTGGATTTGGTAAAATAGTATGATAGGGTGGATTCGGGGAAGGCAATGTGACAGATGTTGCAAAGGTATGGAATAGGAGGTAGGTTACTGAAATCAGTGAAGAGCTTTTACGAGGATAGTGAGGCTCAGGTTAGAGTATGTACTGGAGAGCGAGATTATTTCCCATTAAAATTAGGCCTTGAACAGGGATGCGTGATGTCACCATGGTTATTCAACATATTTATAGACGGAGTTGTAAGGGAAGTGAATTCACGGGTGTTGGCAAGAGGGTTATAAGATAAAGAATCTAATACAAAGTGGGACTTGTCACAGTTGCTCTTTGCTGATGACACTGTGTTTTTGGGAAATTCTGAAGAGAAGTTGCAGAGGTTGGTGGATGAGTTTGGTAGGGTATGTAAAAGAAGGAAATTAAAAGTGAATATAGGAAAGAGTAAGGTGATGAGGATAACAAAAAAATAGGTAACGAAAGACTGAATTTAAGAAAGGAGGGAGAGTGAATGGAGGAGTGAATGTTTTCAGATTTTTGGGAGTGGACGTGTCAGCAGATGAGTCTATGAAAGATGAGGTGATTTATAGAATTGACGACGGGAAAAAGGTTAGTGATGCACTGAGAAGTCTGTAGACACAAAGAGCTTTGCCCGTGGAAGCAAAGAGGGTAATGTATGAGAGTATAGTCATACCAACGCTCTTATATGGGTGTGAAGCATTGGTTGTGAATGTTGCAACAAGGAGAAGGCTGGAGGCAGTGGAAATGTCATGTCAGAGGGCAATGTGTTGTGTTATTATAATGCAAAGAATCTGTAGTTTTGAGATTAGAAGGAGGTGCAGGATTACCAAAACTATTATCTAAAGGGCTGAGGAGGGATTACTGAGAGGATGGAACGAAATAGAATAACTTCGAGAGTGTATAAATCTGTAATGAAGGGAATGCAGTTATGGGTCGGCCTAGGAAAGGTTGGTGGGAGGGGGTAAAGGAGGTTTTGTGTGCGAGGGACTTCGACCTCCAGCAGGCATGCATGAGCATGTTAGATAGGAACGAATGGAAACAAATGGTTTTTATGACTAGACGTGCTATTGGTGTGTGAGCTAGGTAACATTTATGAAGGGATGAAGGGAAACCTACAAGCCAGACTTGAGTCCTGGAGATGGGAAATACAGTGTCTGCACTCTGAAGCAGGAATGTTAATGTTGCAGTTTTATAACTGTAGTGTAAGCATGACTCTGGCAAGAAAGTGATGTAGTGAATGATGATAAAAGTTTTTCTTTTTCGGCCCACCCTGCCTTGGTGGGCCACCCTACCTTGGTGGGCCACCCTGCCTTGGAGGGCCACCCTGCCTTGGTGGGCCACCCTGCCTTGGTGGGCCACCCTGCCTTGGTGGCCCACCCTGCCTTGGTGGGGAACGGCCGATGTGTTAATAATATATGTTACCACAGTGCCACCACTAACCAATCTTCACTATCACAGTGCCACCACTAACCAACCTTCACTACCACAGTGCCACCACTAACCAACCTTCACTATCCCAGTGCCACCACTATCCAACCTTCACCACCACAGTGCCACCACTAACCAACCCTGACTACCACAGTGACATCACTAACCAACCTTCACTACCACAGTGCCACCACTAACCAACCCTGACTACCACAGTGACATCACTAACCAACCTTCACTACCACAGTGCCACCACTAACCAACCTTCACTACCATAGTGCCACCACTAACCAACCTTCACTACCACAGTGCCACCACTGACAAACCTTCATTACCATAGTGCCACCACTAACCAACCTTCACTACCACAGTGCCACCACTGACAAACCTTCACTACCATAGTGCCACCACTAACCAACCTTTACTACCACAGTGCTACCACTAATCAACCTTCACTACCATAGTGCCACCACTAACCAACCTTTACTACCACAGTGCCACCACTAATCAACCTTCACTGCCATAGTGCCACCACTAACCAACCTTCACTACCACAG